AATTGGCAGCCAGTGTAGTGATTTTAGGACCGGTGTTATATAGTCTCTCCTAGATGTGCCAGAGACCAACCTGGCTGCCATGTTTTGTACTAGTTGAAGTTTCCGGACTAAGCACGAGGGTAGCCCCATGTAGAGCGCATTACAGAAGTCAAGACATGAGGTTACCAGTGCATGCATCACAGTTTCAAGATCCCTTACTTCTAGGAAAGGGCGCAGCTGGTGTATCAGCCAAAGCTGATAACAGGCACTCCTGACCGTCATATTTACCTAATTAGTCATCTGGAGTGACTGATGCAGGAGCACCCCCAGACTGCAAACACAATCCCTTGCGGAGAGTATGACCCTGTCCAGGACTGGAGGTTGTATCCCAATACCTAGTTTTGGGGCTGCTACTGTTAGTACCTCCATTTTATCTGGATTCAATCTCAGTCTGTTTTTCCTCACCCAGCCCATTACTGCCTTAAGACAGTCATTAAGAGGGGAGACGCCATCTGAAGTCATAGCTGACGACCAAGACATGGAGTAATATAGTTGGGCGTCATCAGCGTACTGATAACACCCCATCCCATGACTCCGAATGATCTCTCCCAGCGGCTTCATATATATATTGAACAACATCAAGGACAGGATGGCGCCTTGTGGGATGCCACAATTAAGCTCCTTCCTATTAGAGCAACTGTCCCCGAGCAACACCTTCTAGAATCTGTCCGAGAGGAAGGAATGGAACCACTGCAATGCAGTGCCTCCAATTCCTAACCTTCCCAGGCGATCCAGGAGGATGTTGTGGTCTATTGTGTCAAAAGCTGCTGAAAGGTCTACTAGCACCAACAGGGTCACTAGCACCTCCTGGCAACGTTGGGGGATGTTGTCTGAAAATCATCCCACTCTTGCAGGATACTGACAGGATTAACTGCACTTTATTCACAGGAGGACATTTGCCTCCTGTGTGATAAAGTTCATAGTCCAACACTCAAACCACTGCAACATGCTGGCTGAGTAAGATGCTTACATGTATATATGTGTCTTCCAGTTGCCTGTCAAATTATGGTGGCCTCATAAATTTCTTAGGATTTTCTTATACAATGAATATTCAGAGGTGGTTTGCCATTACTTTTCTGTGAAATACAGCCTACAGGACCTGGTATTCCTTAGATGTCCTTCACCCAAGTATTGTGATCTCTTCCAACTACATGATTCTATGAACCCAGGATTGACCCTTCTTAGCCTCCATGATAAAACAGAATCTGGTGCCTTTGGGGTATTACCTTTGACCAACATTTTCAGAATTCAGATTTTATTCTGAGATTTTCTAATCTTGTTAATGAAATGTAAAAGGCAGGTTGTTTGTTGTTAGCTGCCCTCGAGTCAGTTCTCACGCATGGCAACCCTGTGGATGAGACTCATGGCAACCCTATCTTCCACTGCATTCTTGCCCAGATCCGGCAAGCCCTTCCCCATAAGCCCCCTGATTGAGTCTATCCATCTGGTTGGTGGTCTTCCTCTCTTTCTTCTACCCTCTGCCTTTCCTAGCATTATTGTTTTTTATCATTTTCTAAAAAGCAGTCATTCTTACACAGACCCTTGCCAAAACAAACAAGTTCTAAATCAAACATTACGTAAATTTGAATATATTGTGGTGCTGGAGTGGGGATGATTTGAACATGCATGTATTCAAGGGCATAGCCGTGTAAGTCAGTTTCAGCATTAAAAGCTATAAAAAGATGTAAGGAAATTGTGTAGCACCTTTGAGACTGAGAAAAAAATTCTAGCATAGGCTTTTGTGGACTCCAGTCCATTTTCTCAGTCTCAAAAATGCTACACAATTCCCATACATTGTTTTATATCTGAACATGTTAGAACTTTTGCAAGCAAATTTTGAAATGGAATAATGTACTTATTCTCTCCACTCCTTCCCTGTAGTCTTTCCAACATGTTTCCCCATGACTGTTTGCAAAAGTGAACTGGTTTGCATGTACATAAAACAGCTGTAAATCATTCTCTGTTGACATCTTCTGTAACTCTTACTGTCAGGGTGTGAAAGGATCTTGTAGCATCTGAGACTGAATGAAAGAAGTTGTAGCATAAGCTTTCCTAGATCTGCTCTACTTCCTCCATGCTGAGGATGTAGGCCAAGTCTAAAAAAAGCTTATGCTACTACTTCTTTTGTTCAGTTGGTCTCAGAGGTGCTACAAGATCCCTTTGTATGTTGATATTCCAGACTAACTTGGCTGTGTCTCGGAATTCTTCCCATCAAGTCCAACACAAATTTGTTATTTATATATATACACACACCCACACCCCTGGGATTTAAAACAATCACTGGCTTGTAGATTGCAACATATTAAGTAGATGTCTTGCATCAGAGGAAGAATGGCCTTTTTTTGTTTTAAGAAAGCATAATAGTTCCAG